CTCAACTGGTAGATCTAGTTTGATCAGATTGTAGCATGTCGAAGTCACTTCCTTATTCAATGAAACATGTTCACTAGGACAACGCCAAGTTCCGTCACCCATCTCTTTTCGAGGTATTCGATCTCTCTCCTTTTAAGCTCTCTGGATTCGACTCTCTGGTATCTTATCGTTGATTAATTGTTTTCTTTCTGACATTTCTTAGTTTTGCTTTGATTGCATTGAATTTTGAATTATTTTCATGGAAATGGTGGAAATTTTGGAGAGAAAGATTAGTCACTGTTGTTGCATTGTTATTTGCATTCTCTGTAGAATAATGGAGTTAGCTTTTCTCTCAGCAGAATACAGTTATGTGCTATTTAGGACGGGGAGTATGTCACTAGGAAATAAGAATTTGTTGCTCTGTTGCTAATTGGTAGCAGCTTTCTCATTGATGATTTTCGTTACATGATTTAACATTTAGATCTGACTTTAAAATCGTAACTGGAGCATGGTCTTATGGTTCTTTGTTCTTGCTAAGTGTAGGCAGAGAAGTACATATACGCATATCACCTTGTATTTTTATTGGTGAAATATGTTCAATGGTACTATTTGAACTAGTGAAGGAAGGCGTCTGATCATAGCCCTTCCATCTTCACATTTGGAGGTTATGTGGTCTAAGCATTAAACCAATACCATAAGTAAAGTTTAGATAGGGTTCCTCAAACTAATTGCTCCATCACGTTACCTTTTGGTGTTTCATTTTCTGTTTCTTCGTTGAAGTATAAGCCTTGAGTATCATCATATATAGAGGCAGTTTATTGTGTACTAGATGTATAGTTTTAAAAGATTCTCAGATGTTTTAATTTATTCCCCAGGTTATCTCTCAGAAACTGCTCAACAGTAATATATAATGTGAGTGTATAAGTTGTAGTACGGGGAGGTTTTTAGTGCTATTATTGATATTTGGTTTATCATATCTTATGTTGACACATGCGGGCACCTTGCATTCTGTTTCCAACAAACTGGAAAATGGTATAAGGATAGCTGACAGAGGTAAGGTCATTAGTGGAGGAAGCAGCAGACTTGGAAAATTTTGGAGAAAACCATCAAGGCTTCCTCCTTGGTTGTCAGCAAATGAAATAAGTAGTCCTAAGAAACCTAATGCAGAGTCAGCAAAGGTTTAAATAAGTTGTTTTTGTTGTTGCTAATTTATTTTGTTTTGATGTATTCTTCCACTGTAGCCCTAATTCTGGTGATTCTTGTGGAGAAAATATTAGATTGGGATCCTGAGGTGACAGCTACTGTGAGTACTTAATTAGAGTGTGGCTTCAGCCTAGAACTAGTAAAGATGGTAATTTTGCATATCTATATGATATGTATCAGGAAGCAATGAAGGGTGTCAGATATGTGCTTGTTCAGAATTCGATCCTAAATGGATTGGTTTTGTGGGGAACTGCCCTTTGGGCTGAAGGGTGTATTTAGTCCAAAAATGGATCACCTGGTAAGTGGTTATTTTTTAATACCTGAGAATTTAAGCAAAATAAGTGTATTGACAGATGAAAAGAGATCCTTAAAAGTCTATTATTCAAAGGAATGATGCATCGCTTATTGCTTGTTTTGCTCATCATTCTAGATCTACCTTACAATAAAATTCAAATCAGTTCTCTCTTTTCTCTTTTTGTGTGTGTGTGGATCTATCAGCTGGCCTGTCTGATTAGGGTTTGCATTCTTTGATTATTTAACCCTTGATCTATAGGCACAAAAAAAATTGAATTATATGTTGTTGGTAGAAAACCTATTGGCTTTAAGTTATAAATAGCTAGGTTATATTTATGTCCTTACTTGTTGTGATCATGCCATTCTTGGAAACAATTCTTTAACATTGGATAATTATTCATTGCATCCTTTATTGATGTGTAATCATCTCTCGATCATTTTATATTTGCTTCTGGTACTCTTGCACTTGTTACCACAAAAGGCATTATAAGATTTACCTTTATTTTTCCCTTACAATGCCTTAATTGATGTGCAATCGTCTCTCAATCATTTTAAGGTTCTTGCCTGGCACTCTTGCACTTGGTGCCACCAAAGGCATCACAAAGGAGAAAGCTATGAATGACAATCTTCTTAGCTTTGAAGATCTGTAAAACTTTAAACTTGCAGAAGATTTGGCCAAGACATGCTTTGAGATGTATTCAGTAACTTCCACTGGTTTTGCTCCAGAAATTGCATACTTTCATGCTAAGGTTAGATGGTTTTTTTTTTTTTTTAATTTAACTTGTTTTCTGAAAGCAATATATGATCAGGAAAATGTGTGTATGCATTAAATTGGGTCAATAACACTAATTTTGTTTTGAATTTTGTTTCAATTCATTATTCTTTTCCTTTTATTAGTTATGCTCTACGATTATCCGGTACCTCATTATGAATCAAGTAAGAATCTTCTGAAGGTGGCCTTGATGGTGGAAATAAAAATTTTGGAATATGTTAATGACATACTAATCAAACATGCTGACTGCCATAATTTATTGCTTCCTGAAAAGTGAGGCTGTTGAATCCCTATTTGTATTATACAGTATCACTCAAGACCAAAAGTATGCTCTTAGTCTTTACTTACTATGATATCTAATACATGCACACATATGCAGCTAGGGGAAACAGTGCACAAAATTTTTCCCCTAAGGCCCTAACAATAACATTTCTTCGTTCTTTAGATGATGTCATCACAATTTCTCCTCAAAGAAGAGACAAAATAGAAACCTTTTTCCTTGGTGAAACACTGAAGTATTTATACTTACTGTTTGGGAATAGCTCCATTTTACCATTGGAAAAATTTGTTTTTAACACAGAAGCTCATCCTTTTCCAATTAAGTGAACTGTCTGAAGGGGTTGTGAAGCATTCATGTGAAGGGAGGAATATAGGCCTTGGCACAGATTCCCTGTCGTCTTGTAGCTTATCTTGTGGTAGAGTGAATCAATGGCCAGGTTAAAAGGCCAAGGCTTAATGTTCCTTGTCATGTGCATTGCTATCTGGATCTGCATTCAGATGCCTACAGAAGGAAAAATTAGAAGACATCTGAATGCCTGCCTGATCATGACAGGATTGGAAAATCTAAGAAACATATTTGAGGCTTATAAGTGGATGGGGTTTTTCCCTCCAAAAGCGTATGAGTGAAATACAACCATGTGTAACTGACTTGTCTAGTTTTGATTCTGGCTTTGAATTCCAAACCAAATAACCAACTGATTTGGTTATATTTTCGTTAACATTTTATGCATCCTATACAAGATTGCCTTGTAATAATCATCAAGTTCCATCACATTCCATGATCTAATTCTTCATCTTGAAGGAGAAACAGATGATCACCATCTCGAATGACACATATATCATCTATTTCTGCAATCTCAGCATTAACAACTTTTGTAAATTTGCAGCCTCTGAACTTTTCACCTGCAGTTTGACAAGGATTTGGAATGAGTAAAGCAACCAAAGGTAAAGATAAGTGAACCAAATAACTTGCTGGTTCCTTTCTATGGTTTGAAATCTTTAATTGGAGATTGAACATGGTTATTTTACCATATATATTTTTTCCCATATATTCAGGTTCATATTCAAATGATCCCTTGCAGTCAGACAGAGCTTACCAGCAACTCTGAGCAGCTCTTCAATTGTATCAGGTAGAATTATTAACTTCCCAAGTTGCCTACTTGATGCCCTTCTGTTTTGACACTGCATGTGAATAGTAACTCTTTTTTTTGTTGATTTTGTTACTTCTTGTTTGCTTGGGCTGTTGAAGAAATTAGGGACACTACTTGTATGTCTGCTTGGACTGTTCCTTGCATAATCTGTTGTACCTGGATCAGTGACCTCTATTTTATGTTCATATGGTTCCCTTCTACTTTCATAAGTTAGTGGGAGCTCATATAAGCTCTTGTTCCCCTGCTGCCCTGCTAAACTTTTAGGTGTCTGTCCTCGGGCATCTGGTTTACTTACATCTGGTCCTTCTTCCAGAAGAATCTTAACCATCTCAATGTGCTCCTTCTGAACAGCACTGTGGAGAGCTGTTTGGCCATCCTCAGTGGTTGAATTTATGTCCACTGGAGATATAGTACAACAATACCCTCTACCTGTTTTAACCCTCCCCAGGGCTTCTAATCCCAGTACATCCATGTCTTTTGCTTCTTGCTTTAAGGGATTTCCCTGTAGTTGATCGTTAAATTGTGCATGTAAATGGCTTTCTCCTGTTTGTCCTCCGAACCATTCTCTGTGGGTCAAGCCTAGGTCTGTGTTTGGATAGGAATTGATGCTCTCTACCTCTGCATTCAGTTTCTGTGAGAAAAGAACATCAGTTCTTGTTGGTAATAATAGTAAAGTATTTTTTTTTAATCAAAGAAGCTACCTATTTTGAGGTATACCATGAAAAGATTTTGCATTACAGTGCGTCCATCTTTCATATTTGCTTGTATGGTGTTCATAAATGAAGTTCTGTTCAATCGTAGAATTTGAGAAAGCTCAGTGGTCTGAACTGTGAAAGGCTGTGGCCTGCAACATAAAACTCCGAACTCCCCAAACACATCCCCTGCAACTAACTTTCCCAAAACCTGTATATCACATGTAGGCATGTAAATTGTACCTGGTGCTTATCCACCTTGTAGCTTATGTATACACTGGTTCAAAAAACAGGACATACCTGATCAATCCCATCAACATGGGAGATTAAGTTCTGCAATCAGGAATCATTTTCACATCAAATAAATTAAATTAGGCTATATGTATGATGTATACAATCAAAAGTATATATCACTTACAACTGCTCCTGAGACAAGTATGTAAAGATCTGTTGGACCTTCATTCTGCAGAATTAGATATTCTTTTGGTGGAAAATACTCAGCTTCTATGTCTGAAACCTTCAATGAGAGAACAAACTTTATCAAACCAACTGAAAGAGGAGGGTGAAAAATGCTATGTCAGCAACATATATTAAACCTGTGCTCCTCTTTTGGTACTATTGTCCCTTTTTTTTTTTTCAGAGTTTTAGCCTTTTAATTATGAGATCATGGTGCATTTTTATCATAAAGCAAGTGATGGGGAGGATGAAAATGATACTGGCATGCATAATCAGCATCATTAAGTATTACCAACTGAAAGAGGAAATCATGAGAAACCCCTTGAAAGAGATAGACATTTTGAACAATTGGGAAGAAGAGGTGGTCTGCTATGCTTGAGCGAATGGCTTTTGGCAAACTATTTAGAGTCTCTTGCTGCTTCAGTTCTTCTGTTTTGAAATTTAAGCATATGTGTGACAACATTTGGTCCTGTATACGGCATGGCAACTGATTTCTTGTAGCAAATTCTGAAGCAGCTTTGATGTTATCCCTCTGTAGCGCCAGGGAAAAAAATTCTTGTTATTAGGATACCTGGTTTAGAGAACACAGCCCTGGAAAATGATACTACCTTTAAATCTGAAGAAAAAAACTTGGATGCTTGTAATGCTCCGATCAACTACTCTATGAGCTAAGCCATATAGACTTGAATAGTAATTTATGGTTATAACATGAGCAAGAAGCTTTATCCTGTATGTGTTGCATAGACAATTGTCAAAATTTGTTATGGTGGGTTTACAGTAGTTCTGTTGATTGGGACTGGTAGAAAACTTGCTAGAACATATTTGATATTCAATATTTCTTTGAAGGTTAAATACAATATAGGACAGCAAGAAGATGCAATATTACTTACAAAATTTTGTGTGCGGCTGGTCCTGTGCACTATGAGATTTGTCATGTTTCCAATGATGTAAGACGTCAAACCCAAATTAAACAGCATGTAAAATATGTCAAATAGCATCTCCCTTGGATTCGCAGCATGCAAGTCTCCATAACCTGTGGTGGTCAATGTTGTTATAGACCAGTAAATTGCAGTTATATATCTGTCCCAGAGGCTTGCCTCTTTGAAATTTGGGTATACTGCTCCAATCCAAGTTCTTTCTGGATCAGGATATCTTTCTGCAATCAGGTAGTTAAGACATCCAGCACAATGCACTGCAAACAAGGTTACCTGAAATCAACCAGACATAGAGCAAACCATTTTTCAATATCTAGACAACATTATTTGAACATTCAAGATGTAATTAGAAGAAGTTTTTAATGGATTACAGAGATGAGCTTGGTGCACCGAGTCCAGAAGTAGTTGAAGCGGATGTCCTTCTCAAGTCTGAAGGAAAGCATACTGGTCAGTAAGCATTGTAGTTCTCAATTTGTAACATTTCAGTATTTGAAGAAAACCAAAGACAGTTTTGAAATTGTTTTGTAAACCTTGCAAACAGGGAGCTGACTCGTCTGAGACGCCAGAGTCTGAGCATGTTGAGTAGCCTAAACCCAATTTTGCTACTGTTATCCATGAAGAGGCTGAAAGACTGAAATGGAGCACTTGAACTGACATCGAAAATGAACCAGGTAGATATATACCTACATGTTGAATGTGATTATGTGAAGAAATATCAGTGATTGCTCCAACTGAAAAGTAAACAGTTTTTCCTTTCTTTTTGAAAAGAAATGTGTGATCAAATGCCTCACACACCTTATTGCGATTTTCTTGGGGTCATCAACAAGGAGGTAAGATTGGCTATCTAGATATGCGACAAAGAAGGTGAGAACAATATCAATGGCAAAGAAACCATTGACAATGTTGTCAACAATGAAAAGAGCATCTTTCTTGTAAGTTAGAAATGCAAACTCAAATGGACAGATCCAGGCTGAGTAAATGACTAGAACAACCAGCCACATCTCCCAAGCCCTGTGATAAGCTATAGAACATTAGGAGCAGCTGTAATAGTTTCAAAGAAAATTTTGGGTAAGCCATGGTAAAGGATCATTACCTATAACGGGGATTGTAGGGAGAAATTATGTATCTTTGAAGCTTGGTTGCCTGGTTAATTCTGGCTCCTAGTGATGGTAGAAAATCAATGGAGAAGAAATTGTCATTAGTAGTGCTGTCCATTTGATATTCATCACTCCAGAATTGCTGGAAGAAGTTTTTCATGCACGAAAATGACATATTGGGTGTTTGTTCTCTAGGCAGGAGCAGAGGCTGTTATTTTAGCAGGGTTAAGTCTCACAGGAAAGGTTATAAATAGAGAACCTTGTGAACAGTGACACAGGTTGAGGCTACTTTTTATCGTCTTCTATCTCAGTTTTCTCCTAACATGTATGATACTAATGTGCAGAAAGCTTATGCAATTAGTATGTCACTGAGAATAAAACAAAGGGCAGGTAGGTAAGTGGGGGAGAGGGAATTTTTCAACCTATTTGAACAAGAATTGTGAAAGGGCAACACGAAAATTTTGAAAAGAAACAAGTGAATGAATACAGAATTGGCAAGCACAGGAAGTGGTAGACATGAAGCTGGTAATGCAGTAGCAGAAAAGAATTTCTAGAGAGATCAATGAATGAAGAAAGTAATGGCAATTGTAATGGTGCTTCTTCTTATGAAATTATGCAGGTGGTGGTGATTGTGGGGGCTCCATAATGAATGCATATGGACGTGGGAATGATTTATGGACAAGGCCATTGGAAGGACAGATTTGAGTGAAAAATGTTTGGTGCTTTCACTTCAGAATCCTGCAATGGACCAGATATATGTGGTAGAGTTTGGAGGCGCTTGATTTATGGATGCCACGTGGCCCAATAGCTGCCCCTTTTAGAGGTATGACACTTTCTACAAAACCTCCCCCTTCCCCTAGCAAAATTTGCAATTTCTCTTTTCTCCTTCTTAGTAAGAGCCCAGGTTGTTTGTTTATGCAATGCAATTAGAACCATATGTGTTGAATTGATTCCCGCCATATGTCCCAACATCCCTTCTGTTTTGACACTCTTCTAATCAGCAGACGTGTTGTCTCTATTGGTTTTCATATTTCACCAATTTCTTTCAGTATGGCCCGCTATCATTCATTTGACAACATCTTTTTTTCTTATTCCACCCAGATCCTCATGTTTTATTAGAAAACCAAAAACTTTTCTCATACCTAATTCTGAAGATTGATATTTTTGCTTAGAAAGCTCGAACAATTATACCTCTAGAGACACGAAAAGAATTTTTATTGTGTACATCCCCTAAGCATTAAGTGACAGTTGCCTGTCAAATAAAACTTAGACAAAGTTGCCATTTACTTTACATTGCATATGCTTGAAGCTGGGGACCCCAAACGTATCTTTGAAGATTCTTTCGATCTATATAATGAACTGTCAGAACTAGCTCACTTCTTGGGAATTCCAGAGCAATTGAAATGAAACCACCTCCCTTTCCCATTGCTAGCAAGGTTTTTTCACACTTTATTAGGTTTGCTATTCTCTTCATCTGAAAATGAAAGTCCAATTATACATCACATATGGCAGATAATGTTTCATTGATGCAAATAGTGCATTGCTACTAAACATCTTAGGTGATTTAAGCATGTGGTAAGGCTGCTGCTATTACAGTAGGAATTCACTGTGGAATCGTCGGATTCCACACTCGTGGGAAAATAGGTACTATTTACAGCACGTGCGTCAGAGTTTGGTTAGATTTTGCTAGCCGTCGTGGAATTGAGTGGGTAGGCTCTACTCATAAGCTTGAGAGTTTGGAGTCCTGAGTTTGTTAGGGTCAACACGAGGCAGTGAGATGTCCTGAGACTTTGGGGCTGTGGGGTAGATTTAAATGACGTGAATAACTCAGACTCTATATCTTGGGGAGTTACGTAATAATGAAGTCAAAAGTTATATTATATTAGTAGTCTTGAAGGATCTCATTTTCTATCTTCCATCATTTATCAAGAATTAATGATGAAGATCGGTCTACAATCACCTCCAAATATTATAAACCACTCAAAGTGTAATTTGTTTGCACATATAGGATGGATGATCGATAGCAATATGTTTTTATGAATAATGATAAATGGAATAAAATTTTAAGATTAAAATCTAATTAATGACATGGTATAAGTCACATTATTTAAAATATTAAAAAATAAATTTTATATTATTTAATTATTAGTTCTTTTTATTTTTTTGAAACTCATAATATTATATATATATCAATTAATTTAATAATGTAACATAAGTTATGTCATTAGTCTTAAATTTTTATCTTAACTTTCATTCTCCCTATCATGACTATTTTTATTTTGGTAGATATAATATCTATTGATTTTGTGTATGCATATGTAAAACCAATTCTACTAACAAAGAGTTTAATTAAGTTCGTATTACCAATGATAGATATGTCAAGTGATTTAGTTAAAGTATCCTTTTGCAAGTAAAAGACCATTATAATTAAGGTTAGTTTATTCTAATAAGTAACAACTATCTTTCGTTTTCAACAAACGTTGGATTCTTCCCCACCACATGAATGATAAACATCTCATTCATGGGAGTTCTAACAATACTGAAATATGTATTAGCAATGCCCAAAAAAAAAAAATACAAAAAAAAAAGGAAAGGCCAAAAAAGAAACAAAATGGAATCAACAAAGAGAGAAATAAGTTAAGAAGAGGAAATAAAAATCCGGTGGCCACTGGATTGTGGAGGGTGAAGGCACAGGAAAATTACAGGACTGTGGTCCTTTAAAATGAAAGGCTATCATAAAAATTTTATAGTTTTCTAAACCCTTTTTTTCATCGTGGTCCTAGGTTTTGATTAATATAGAAGTGGTGAACTTATTTTTGTTTTTTTTTTTTCTCCTTTTTGGGTGAATCATATACCAATTCTAGGTCCAATTCCAAACGAGAATTTCTTTAGTGTAAGGAGACCTTTCCTAAGACTTCGGTT